GTGGCAAGGTGTGCTGTGTGGTGCGGTGGAAGCTCTCTCATCTTGTATTCTTGCTGACCTGCATTCAAATCCCACACCACCAGTGGATGGTAACCCTGGCCATTCCTTGCGCATAGGGTGATTAGAAGCAGCAGCAATTAGACACAGCCTGGCACACCAAGAATAACCATTGTAACAAATGGAATTAAACTAGACTATTAGTTTTTTTTATATACTCCTCCCTCTATCTCTCTCCTCTATTATGCCCTCCTTCTCCCCCCTACTCTTTCCCTCTCCATTTTCTATGGCATTGGTAACTCTTTTCAACTATGATGTTCCACCATTTGAAATTTGAACTCTACAAACCTCACTGAATAAAACTGCTTATATTGACAGAGGAAAATCTGAAGCCCTTATGTGGCTGGGCATGACAGCAATGTTGCCAAAATGCATTTCTTGGTGGTTAATGACACAATATTTGAGAGTGAAAGGATACATTTTAAGCAATTAGTTTTTATCAATAAAATTGACTTTGTTCATTCATTTTTTAGCAAGATAAGCAATAATACACAATCAGGCTGTATATAAGTACATATATTGTGGAAATTATATCTTGTTTAAGGACATGTTTCCACAATAATTATTTTCTTAACATTTTCCTTTAAAAATCTGTTCTTAAAAGTGGGTGCATCCTATGACATGTGGCATCATTTGTGGCTTAAATAAGGTACTTAATATCATTGTGGATTTTTGTATATGGAAGTAGAGAGGGAGGTAATCTCTAGAGGTCTCTGATCATAAATATGTAATTACAGACAAAACCATCCGATAAGAAGAGTGCAGGCGAGAAGAAAAAGCTCAAGAGTGGTAAGGAGGAACTTAGCCAGGAAAAATCTAGTGAAGAACTCAAAAATGTACCAGATGAACAGGTTCCTTTGGTATCTGAGGTAAGGCTGTTCTTTTTTTTTAAGTGTATGGATAAATGATAAATTTGAGGATTGTTTTATAAGTAAATATAGAGATACTGTAAAGTTTTTAACTCATTGAGTCCAGGTGATGTGACCTTCATAGATAAAAATTTGGCTGAGGGCTAGGGTGACGGAACCACTCAACATGAGTACAGAAAGCTTTTGGAGAAATGTTATTTCCACTTGTAAATGAGGGTGGAATGTACACCCATTTGCAATGCTGGGCTTACAGATGATACAAACCAAAAACCCAGGAGATTCACCACTTGGGGAAACCTAATGGCCAGATTTTGGTCCACATATGGGCAACAAGGCACCTGGCTCTAGCGAGTCAGTGGTGTGAAGAAAAGATGTCTAGAGGTCTCTGATCATGTGTATTTAACCACAGGTAAGCCCATCCGTTGAGAAAAGTGGAGGCAAGAAGAAAAAGCTCATGAATGGAAAAGCGAAACAGGGCTTGCAGACACCTAAAAAGGAATCCAAACATGTACCAGATGAACATGTTCCTTTGCTGTATGAGGTAAGGCTGTTCTTTTGTTCTATGTGGTCAATTGTTATATTTTGGAATTGTTTTTTTTATAAGTGACTTTGAAGTTTGTATGATAGCTAGATAGATTTTTCTTACTTTAAAACTGGTAATTCTAGTTTTCAGCTAAAGTAGTCTTAATTTCAGAGAATAGATGATATTGTTTATATTTATAAAAGAAAACTAGGAATTTAGAGAAACTTGATATGTACTATGTATTTATTTATACTCACCATCATTTACACAGAATATCACAGAAGGTCAGGTGATTTTAGGATGTATACAAGAAGTCCAGGATTGCGAGTTAAAGATCAGTCTTCCCTACCGTTTGTCCGGAACTGTGTCCATCAAGAAGATCAGCAAAGCCTACACTGAGCTTGTGGAGAAGGTCAGTATTTGGAGTAGGATTTTTGTTTGTGTCTGATGTATGGGAATGAGTGGTATAAAATGGTGATACATAATTCAGAATTCTAATGCACTAATTGTTCAGTAGGGCTGTAATATATGAAAGCTTTACATATATATAGTCTTGCCATTATGTCTGTCATCACCATCAATACTACTTTCACCATTATTTAACATCATCCCAGTTCTACCACTATGACCAGTCTACAAAACTACTTGAAATGTCTTTCAAATTTTACAAATTCCTCATGAGTTGCCCTTCGTAATAATTGATTTCCATGACTCCACCAACAGATGGCAGAGGGAGAGAGCCAAGATGAAGAGGGAAGACCATTGCAAGACCTATACCGACCTGGGCAATTAGTGGTAACGTCCGTGGTCAGTACTGATAAAATAGGCGCAAGAAGGAAAGGTAAATAGTATTTTTTTCTACAGGGAAGTATAAAAGAAAAGGGTATTGGTATTTCTCTTGAAGTAATAGAATAGAAGGTGAATTATACCTGTGGAAATTATGAAATAAGAAGAAAGAAAATTAAGGGTATGAGATTTGAAAAAGACTTATGAATAAAAGTTGTGAGATAGCAAGAGAAAAGTGAGAAATATTTGTGTGGAATTGAATGATTAAGGGAAGATGAATGATTATCCTCTGTAAGATTTTAAGTAAACTAGAATACAGTGAATAGATATGGTTCTGTGGGATTGAATAGGAAAAGCACAGGTTATGAAAATACATCCTTGAGGAATAAGAACTATGTTGATTAAAGGTTTTTGTTACATGATTATGGTTCAAAAAGGATTTGAAGTAACAGGCAGAAATCAGGAAAAAAAGAAAGTTGGAAGAAAAATGCTTTATATGACACGATAAGTTAGTATGTAATCCTTACTATATTTGTAGATAGAGGAATCTCGGTTATTTAGATGTACTCAGACTGACCAGCACACTTTTCTAGTAAACCTCTCGCTGATGCCGCAAGATGTAAACTCCTCACTCACTGCGCCACTCCTGGAAGTAGGCTTTGTACTGCCTTGTGCTGTGGCCAGCGTAGAGAACAAAGGCTTCATCATGGACACTGGCATTGCCAGTATACGAAGGGCTTTCTTACCCCACAAAGCAGTGCAAGGTGCAGGTAAGATGTTTGTACAGTATCTTTAGGGTGGCTGGGTTTCAGGATCTGAACCTCCTGTGAAAAAATAGCAAAACCTATTCCTAATATGCCATCTTATTCTCATGTCATGCATAAGCCCTTATTATTTTCAAAGCATTAATTTGCAGAGAAAGTAGATCTCACTCCTATAAGCTTCTGTACTCTTCAAGCCACTTAATAAATCAAAATTCCCTTATCCATATCTCAACATCTTTGCTGGCCACCTTAACTTCCTGCCACCATTGTCCAGTCCCACACTCATTACAACAACCCTCAACCTCTTCAGATACTGTGGACGTGGGAAGTGTAATGCGGTGCAAAGTGACCAAAATCAGCGGCGGTGTGAAGGACAGCTGGGATGTGGTCCTATCTGCTGATCCAAAGGCACTGAGCGAGGCCATACTGCCTGTCGCTTCCACCACCAACATTTCCTTGATGATTCCTGGGACAGCTGTTGATACCACTGTGTCTAAGGTATTTTTGTAAAAAAATATGCCATTTGTATTTCTGCTTATTTTCACTTTTATCAGAAAAAATGTTGTGAAAGTGTTTCAGCCAATTTAGTTACAATTTTGCAAACAAACTGAGCAAAGGATTATATATATATATATATCCAGTAAATCGAGAATGATATACATGAAGGGACCCCTGTAATATGTAATAGTATGGATTACGGAAGGGGAAGGTTGGAAGGGAGAAAACTTGGTGATATATGACATACAGGTGCATTATATTAATGGATACTATGTTTCATTGATAGCAAAGAAAGTAAGGAAAAATATCCCCCAGTCTGTGACAGGCAAAGTGTTAAATAGGACTGTATATGGGTAGCATGAAAAAGATTTCCATACCATCATTTAAAGCACGCACTTTATACCTCTAATTTATCCTCACAAGGTCGCAGATTATGGACTGAACATCACCCTGGCTGAGTATGAAGGGGTTGTGAACCGCATCCACCTTAAGGAGCCTTTTGACATTATCCAGAATTATAAGAAAGGCATGAAAATAAGGGCCAGGGTGCTTTACACTGTGCCTGCGAAGAAAGTAGTGCATTTCACTCTGCAGAACATTTACTCAGAAAGGTAAGTCTCAGGGTTTAATGTCAGTCTTGTTAAAGGCAGGATATGACATTATGTTCAGTTATATGCTTGAAAATTTGAAAATAAATTTTATGGTTCTTGATTTAGTCTTCTTTAATTTTGGGCTGGTATACCATTCCTTTTTCTCTGTAGCTATTACATTTGTGCTTTCACCTCCCAACTTTCTTCATAATCTTGCTTCTCTGCTTTTTCTTCCTCTTATTATTGCTCCTGCTCTCTTTTCTTTTTCTTCCATCTTATCACCATATAATTTTTCTTTTTATCCTCTTCCTTCACCAACTTGAAGCTCACAACTCGACCTGAAAGAGGGAGACATTGTTGAAAATGCAGTGGTCTTTGACTCACGGCCTGCGGGTATTTCCCTCAAACTGAACGACAAGTACCGTGGCTACTGTTTCCTGAAAGATCTCCCATATGGCCATCAAAACCCCAGGAATGTGAAGAAGGCATTTCCCGTAGGCCATAAGTCGGAGTGTAGCATTATCAGGTACTGCTACATGGATCGGATGTTTATTGTCTCATTGCAGAAGGTGAGTTAAGGGATTCCTGTGATTGCTCTTCCAAAATAAGGAGGTTAGAAAGGGAAGGCTTTTAGGAGAGGGAAAAAAGGGAGGAAGTTGAAGAAAGTTTTTAGATATTGATTTTTAATGTTATGGTTTTAGTTTGAAATAAGTTTATATTGCTACTTTAAACCCTAAAACTACAATTCCTAAGCCCATCTTTGCCTTACAGCTAGGAATAACCCAAAATTTCAACATTTACTAGGATATAATTTTGTCCTTTATTGCGTGAAGAGCTCAGATTTGCACACCAGTAGTGTAGAATTTTTTTTTTTAATTCAGATGCTTTGCTGCCTGCACATGGCCCAAAATCTGGGGATTAGAATTACTGGTCACAGTGGGTAGGAATAGAAGCCTGGAGCATGCATAGCTCACAGATGGTAATTTCCACATTCATTTAACAGTGGAGATAATGTAAGAGCCCACTGAGTTTTATCTTCCTCCAAGAACTTTGTGCACTCGTGGTGATTCATTCCTGTTAACTGAGCCTTCAGTCAAATATTCCATGATGGCATGTTCCCATCTGCCCTGTTTTTCCATGATAGCTTATTCCTGTTAAACGACCCTCAACCAAATTTTTTTCATTACGTGATGGTCACATAACCTGGATCCAATGGGTTAAGGAGGATAGTTCACCCTCATTGTGTCCCATTCATACTGAATTATAACCAGGAAAATTACCACAAGTTGTGAAAAGCTGATGCTCTGTCCAATTAACTAATCTGACAGATTAAGTTACCTATATGTTCAGTTCAAGTGTTTGTGTATATATTTACATATTTGATAGGTAGTATCACAAATTTACAAAATTGAAATAAAGTCGGTGTTTTGTGGTTTGCTGTCATGAAATATTATGATTACTTACGATTCTAAATCTGAAGCTAATACATTTCCATTCCTTTCCTGCTTTACAGAAGTTCAGCTATGATAAGATAGAAGTAGGCACAAAACTGAAAGCAACCGTAAAGTGTTGCAAAGACCGTGGGATACTAGTGGCCCTCAGCAAGACTGTTAGTGGCCAGATTGATTACCTGATGTTAGATACACAGGAGGAGAACCCAGAGAAGAAGTATCCCCCTGGCTTGGTATTGAACTGCAGAGTGTTGTATGTGATGCCGGAGAAGAAGATTATCAAGCTCACAAATAAGAAGGGTATGGTCAACTCACAGCTTCCAATCATATCTGAATTTGACCCTAATCTGATAGGCACTGTCTCAGAGGGGTACATTGTGAGCATCACCCCATCAGGATTGCTGGTAGCTATGTATAATAATGTGAAAGGTTTTGTACCAAAGAGCAAAGCCACATCAGAAAAGGTGACAAGTCTAGATGCAATTTTCACCATGGGTCAGGTTGTCAAGTTCTGCATCATGAAGGTGGAACCAGAGGCAAAGAGAATGACACTGACCCTGTCTATTGACGAGGATGTGGAGATGGCTGAGGAAGAGGAGGAGGAGAAGGAAGGGGAGACCATAGGAGAGAAAGAGGAAACCAAGGAGAAGGCAGAGACCGCTGATACCACAAAGAAGGTAGAGGAATCTGAGAAGAAAAAAGGAAAGAAACGTAAGAAGGAAGAGGACTGTAATGGAGATATAGAGACCACAGAAAAAGACGAGGGAACAGAAAAGAAAAAGAAAAAGAAAAAAAAAGGCAAGATAGACCTCAAGGAGGAACCAGAGAACACTGATGAGGGCATAGTGAATTTTGAGAACAAGATGGAAAATGAAGCAGGAACCAATGACAGTACAGAAAAGGTAGAGGAAACTGAGAAGAAAAAAGGAAAGAAACGTAAGAAAGAAGTGGAATGTAGTATGGATACAGAGATCACAGAGAGTGAAGAAGGAACAGTAAAGAAAAAGAAGAAAGATAAGAAAAAGAGAAAAAAGAATGTGGTGGATGAAGTAAAAGATTTAGAATTGGAAAATGACACAGATGAGGAAGCAGGTGTGAGTGATACTGGACTGACAAACAAGAAGCCATGCCTCTCTGTAGGGACTGGCTTTGTATGGGATGTCCCAGACACTCTTGCAGACAAGGGGCAGTCCAGTGAGAGTGAAGATGAAGAGGAGGATGAGGCAAAAGTGAGTTCAGTTTAGATTTGATTTTTGTTGGTAAGATTTGTTTCAGTGCAGTGCATGCTGTTGGAGAACTAGAACTCATTTACAAGAATTCTTGTTTGTCAGCAAATTAATGGTATATCTTTATTATTACTGCAGAAGAAGAAAAACAAAAAGATGACAAAGGCAGAGCGTGAAGCCATGGCCAAGCAGGAGGAACAGCGACTGCATGAGCTTGAGCGTGCTAGGCTGGATAAAGATCGACAGCCACAAACTGCCATGGACTATGAGGAGCTCTTGCAGACAAGTCCAAACTCCTCTGCAGTTTGGATTCAGTTTATTAGCTTCCATTTAGAGGTGAGGCCTCGATTATGTTATTAATGATATTAGTATTATCAGTCATTTAAATCAGGCATTTAAATCACAGCTTAGAGTGAATGTTTGCTACAATCCAGCACCAGTGTACCTTGATAGTCTAAATATCAGCCACCTATCGACAGCTATAGTTGGATCCTAAACTGAGCCATTGGCAGTTCTAACACTGCAGTAGGTTAATACTGGTATTTTAGGTAAGAAAAGATGAATCTATAAGTAGCTATGCAGATAGATGATTCATAAGTAAAAGGGTTGGAAGATGGTTGACATTTTAGATAGGCTGTTGGAGAAGTGGATAGCTATAAGTAAAGATATGATTATTTATGCATTTATACAGTCTTTAGTATCTAATAGATATGATAAGCTCACACACACTGCATTCACTTACCTTTTCAACTGACCCCTAGAGCGCAGAGATGGAGAAGGCTAAGGCAGTTGCACGGCGGGCGCTGCAGGTGATCAACATGCGGGAGGAGCAGGAGAGGCTCAATATCTGGACAGTGATCCTTAGGCTAGAGGTGCTGTATGGGACGCCAGAGACTGTGCAGGCATCATATCGCGAGGCTTTGGCCACAAATGACGAGCAACAGGTGCACCTTGCCATGGCTATGGTCTATGCTGAGAATGATAAGATTAAGGTATGGTGATTAGTTTTATTATTTGTTTGATTTAATTTATATGTTTATAATTAGCATATTTTTGTATTTGTATTGATTTGATTATGTTTAATGTAGAAAAGGTATGAATGGGATTGAACATATCCACAGTGCAAGGGATTTACTGTTATTTGTCAGAAATACATCCATGTATTTCTGGCGAATGTTTAATAGAAATTGATCAAAATATCTTTTGCACTGTAAAGATATGAATTCTTATTCATTCTTATTAATACACAATTCATATACGTTTAACTTTATTTTAGATTTTCTTTATTTCCTTTTTTCTTTGTTTCTGTCTCTCCAGTACTATCCTAAATTATTATTGTTTTTAGTTTCACATATAAGATATAGGTCTCATTTGCTGTTAAAAAATTAACATATATTTATTTTATTTGTTTTATTTATTTTTAAAAATTCAATGATGGTATAATGTTTTTATATAATTGGTTAGAACTGTCCTTTGTCCGTTGGACTTTATTTTTGAGATCTTGTGATTTTGACTTAATGGTTTTGTTCCAGCTCACCAGAGAAACAAGTATATTTATTTCTTTATTTATTTTATTGTTTGATTTAGTCTGGGTTAGATTTCTTGATACATTTTCAATGATTGCAAGTCACCTAAAGAACAAGCTTGTTCATCATTAATAACATTGTTTTTTTTCTCTATCTCATCCTCAAGATTGTTTGACTCAGTTGTATCTTTTCTACACCCTAATCATTGGAGGAACCTCAATTTCCATATCAGTTTTTCTCTGGATTTGTACTCTTTCTTTACCATGGCATTGTGGGATGTAAAAATAATCCCCCACACCATTTACCCACAAAAAATGTTTGTCATTTCTTTTATTCATTTCTCAATTCTCAGTTTACCTTGAAATAGGTTATGTTACAATTTACCGTGAAATAAGTTGTGTGACCCAATGTATGATCGTATTTGCTCCCATTCACAGGATGCTTCCAACATCTACTACATTATGACCAAGAAGTTTGGCCAAGTGCTGGATGTGTGGATCAAAGCAGGAATTTTCTTCTTTAGAAATAAAAAGTTTGATGAAGCCAGAAAGTACATGGATAGAGCACTGATTGCCTTGGAAAAGAAGTATCGTAAGTCTGATTATTGTGTTTTCTCCTCATTGCATGTGGAAGAGGGAAATGGTCTGATCCTATTAAGAAAGGCAAAATTATGCTCCAAAAGGCAGTTTACGAATATTTTACCTGACAGTAGGTAAATTCTTAATGATATAAATGTTATTTCTTTTATATACCAAGGGACGTAGCAAGAAGAATAGAATAAGAATTTTTTCCATGTACCATTTCAGATGTGGAGCTCATCAACCGCTTTGGCCAACTTGAATTCAAATTTGGCGAGGCAGAGAGGGGAAGGACCATGTTCGAGAGTCTGCTCAGCAACTATCCCAAACGTATAGATGTTTGGAGTGTCTATGTAGATCTGTTGACTAAGAATGGAGATATAGAAGGGGCAAGGTAACTTATTTTCTCTCACATTTATGGTTTATATTTGCAACAATATATCTTCCAATCTGTATGCATATAAATATTTACACATTCACATTCATACACATGCCTGTCAATCTGTATGTATATCTTCATATTCATATTTACACATAAACATACACACACATACCAGCCAATCTGTGTGCATATCTTCCTACACATATATGCATATGCACACACACACACATGCAACCCCTCCCCCACACACACACACTCACACTCACACACACTCACACACCACACACACACACTCACACACACTCTCACACACACACACACACACTCACACACACACACACACACACACACACACACACACACACACACACACACACACACACACACACACACACACACACACACACACACACACACACACACACACACACACACACACACACACACACACACACACACACACACACACACACACACACACACACACACACACACACACACACACACATACACACGCACACACACACACACACACACACACACACACACACACACACACACACACACACACACACACACACACACACACACACACACACACACACACACACACACACACACAGCACTTTGGAAAAGAGAAGGAACTTGTGAGATAAACCAATGCGTGCGTGCATGAGTGTGTGTGTGTGTGTGTGTGTGTGTGTGTGTGTGTGTGTGTGTGTATCACATATTGTTCCCCTTCTGACCCCT